TTGTTTACTTAATGAAACATTTCCAGATTTCATCTTCTGGGCAGTCTTGAACACCATCGTCCTTTTCTTCCTCCACTGAATACAGCAGTCCCCACTTATCCGTGGGGGCCATGTCCTGAGACCCCTAGTGGAAGCCTGAAACTATGGATAGTACCGAACCTTGTATATGCTGTGTTTTCTCGTATATGTACATACTTACCGTAAAGTTACATTTATCAAGTGGATACAGTAAGAGATTAACAACAACAATAATAAAATAGAACAGTCATAACAATATACTGTAATAAAAGTTAGGGAAATGTCTATCTCTCTTTCCCCCCAAATATCGTATTGTACTGGACTCAAGCTTCTTGTGTTGATATGAGATGATAAAATGCCTAAGTGATGAGATGTTGTGAGGTGAATGATGTAGGCACTGAGGTAGCGCTAAGCTACTATTGACCTGACAACTTGTTGGGAGGAGGAGCATCTGCTTCTGGACCGCAGGTGACCACAGGTCACTCTGGAAAACAGAACCACAGATGAGGGAGGGACTGTTGTATGTAACTGTTGGAAAATAATCTATAGTATGGAAACATTAGAAATGGAATAACTGACTACTTACATGTGTTTTAGTTTTGGAAATATTAGCAAAGTTTTATATTCACAGAGAAATGGAAGGTCAATTTCTTTTCTGCCATTTTAAGCCTCTGAATGGAAATACTTTGCTGCCATATTATACATAGGCCTTGTAGGTATCATGTAATATATTGCTTTACCCAGTACAAAAGTCGAGGCTGTTAATCACCAAAGAACTAATTGATCTTTAGAATTAAGTGCTTATTTCCACAACAGAAAAATGTCAAAGCATTTCTTAAAATCTTAGAGGTATTTTTTCCTCATATTTGTCTCTTACGTAGTAATTTAGCTGTTGGGCAAGGGTTGTTCTAATTTTTGTTTTGTTTTAGTTTTATCATTGATTTTCCCCCCCCTAAGAAGAGCTGTTGGTGGTACAGCAAGTTGTTAGGCTCAAAGTGGATAACTAGTGAATTCTCTTGATACAGAGAATAAACTCATATCTGAAATAACCTGAAAATCATAGTCTGCTAAAGACACTGGTAGAAATAAATTAAAGGTTTCCCCCCCTCCTTCTAGTTACTAAATTACTCTTGGTTTTTTATAACTGTTTCAATCAGTGGAAATGGATATTGCTTTGTTTGAGATAGTGTTTTTAATGCTTATAAGCCTTATTTTTAAGATTAGATGACTCATGGATTTTAATAGCCCTGTCAGTCACTTCATAAACAAGTCTTCTCAGTAGAGGAATAATGATTAGAATGAAAATAAAGATACCAAACCATTTATACTGTAGGCACTGAGCTGTAAAAATCATCTGTCTGTAGGGAATGTCAAATTAGATTCAAATATGGGAAGACAATACTATCAAACTCTAATGTGATTTTATTGATAACATATCTGCAGACACCGTGCATGGCTTCAGTTGTCTTAAAATACTGCCATAGTCAACATATATACGTATATGGCACCACCCTCTTAGCATTGTAGTATGCTGGCCAAAGAGACCATTAAACTCTTTTTTTTTAATAAAAAAACCCGTGATGGTCTTAGTATGTAAAAGATATGCTTTCTGGTTGTAAAGTTCATATGCCATTTTGCTTCCTACAGTTGAAGGTATTTGCTACTGTCACTGTACCCTGACTATTTCTGTGTATATTCTGTACGAACACAACCTGCACACAAAGATTCCTGGAAGACTGTAGCTTTCGTGTTGACTGGGATTTATGCTATAAAATCGCTGTTCACTTTCCTAACTGGGTAAAGCTAGCTTAAACCAAAGCATTTTACCAGGGAAAGTGGACATGCTGCAGTGGTTGTAGACAAGAAATGGGACACAAATGTTAACATATCTGACAAGATTTATCAAATCCCCCCTCCATTTAAGATTTTTTTTTGAAGTTGATTTGGTAGGTTTTCTTGATGTTCCTCTCTCTGGTTGAAATCCAGTTTTCTGCAAGACAAGATACTGTGGTTTTAATGAGAACACAGAACTTGGAGTTAGAAGACCCGATTCCAGTCCAGAGCCTGCTCTTCACCAGCATTATGGCCTTAGGCCAAGATGTTTAAGACCTCTGAGTCTTACTTTCCTTACCTATAAAATAGAAATAAAGGCCCCCAAAATAGAATTGCGTGGGAAGAGTCGGCATAGTAAACATGCTTTTGTGCTGATTGTACAGTCATCAGAATTCTTATAGATACGATCTTTTCTTAATAATTGAGCATCTTGCTGTGTTGCCAGGTTATCTTCCTCAGCTTTTATGATGATTACATAATATGTAGATGTCAAAATGACAGGAGATAGAGCTAAATCTGTATGACCCTTAACACAAATTGCTTCTTTCACCAAAGAGTTCACGGAACCCCAATTTTTACATAATTGAAGATTCCAGTTAGTTGTGTTTGAATAATGGAAGCTTTAGTTTACTTATGACCTTGAAATACTTTCAGCTTATTATAAAACTTAAAGCCAGAGCACAGCTGGCCATAGAAAAAATGCTAAGTTATGTAGCCACACTAGAATAGCTTGAATTATAGCCGTATATAAAGATAACTTCAAGAGGTTATTTATAGTAATAGTAATCAACTGTGTGTTCTTAGTATTTGTTATTTTATTATTTACTGTTGCTATGAAACATGTAAACCAGAATTAAAGAACAAACTCACAATTTCAGCAGAGCCAAAACTAAGAAAGAAAAGCATGAGAAAGAGGGAATGTCTTAGAGGTGTGGCTTGAATAGCCACATCGTCAATATACGTGGTTGTTCTGATGACACATTCAGGCATTGTAAACAAAAAGTCCAGTGCATAACATACCAGGTCTTTAATAAATAGACATTTTCAATAATTAAATAGGTTAAGGAGTAGCAATTATATTTCTTTTGTAGTAGAGATTTCAAAAGAGTAGATTCCAATTATTGAATCTCCTCTGAAAGAGAAAAATATGTGAAACTTGGCATGGGGTCAGATTACAGAACAGACTAGTAGATGTTAGGTATTTGTTAAGGAGTAAATGTATGGCTGCCTTAGAAGTCCCTCCTTGAGAAGAATTTCACTGTTCTGAGTATTTGGTAAATTTACTATGTCATCTTCAAGGGCAACTACAGTGTGATAGAACTACCTCTAGATAATCATCTGTAATCTGTAAGAATGAGAAAAGAATAAAGACTTACTATGGCACCCCCGTTCTGTGCTTAGAAGAGAACATCCCTGTGAACGGGCCATCAGTTCAGAAAGTATCGGTCCCTGTCACTGTGATAAACTGTAGCCGAGAGAGACTTTGCCTTCTGCCTCCTGGTAGCTTGTTGGGGTGACAGCTGGAACCTGTGTAGGATGCCTGGACAATATGCTGCAAGTGTCCTCCCCTGTCCCAGAGCTGTGCTTTGTTCTCAGTATCTCTGATTGTCACCTGGTACCTGTGGTGCTGGACATACCCTCTCCAATTCCCGCCTTTTTTTTTTCCAATTAAAAATTTTTTATTGTTTTTACTGCTAGAAATGAATGTTTTAAATGCCACTTTTTTTTTTTTTTTAAATGCCACTACCCAGCCTAAGAATATGTATAGACTCCTCACTTATGAAACTATTCTTCACCATCCTGGGTCCTCCATAACCTGACCTCCCCCTGTAGTCCCACCACACATTGGTTTACTTACTTATTACACTGGGTTCCATTCCACAGTTGATGGAGGGATCCCAGGAGAACACTTACAGTGAAATGATGGGTAAATATGTTTAGAAATGATGGAGGAACTATGGAAACACAGAAGGAAAGAGCACAAGGTTGAGACTAGGGGAAAAAACTCAGATGTACAGGCCACACCTGCTGTAACTGAGGTTAAGATTGAGCTCTGCACTGCAAGATGTCACCATTCTGTCCCCTCCCGCGTGCATGTACTCTGGTATCAACTTCTCCCACTGTGCCATGTTCTCTAGTGCGCCCGCACGTGTGTGTGTGTTTGCTCACCATCTTTCCATATACTCTGCACTATTCAGAGTTCATCTCAAATCGATTTCCCACCTTTCCTGAAGTCTTCCGTTTGTGTTCTAGCCCTTCCAGTACTTCCGGTTGGACTCCCATAGCAGTGACCCTCGCTGTGCGGCAGTGTGAGCTTTTCGTTACCCTTTTTTTATGGTGGTCGAAATTATGTTTTAGGCTAGGGGCGCCTGGGTGGCTCAGTCGGTTGGGCATCTGCCTTCAGCTCCAGGTCATGATCCCGGGGTCCTGGGATCAAGCCCCAAGTCAGGCTCCCTGCTCAGCAGGAAGTCTCCTTCTCCCTCTCCCTCTGGGCTCTCTCGCTCTCATTCTCTCTCAAGTAAATAAATAAAATCTTTGAAAAAAATTATGTTTTAGGCTAGCTTTTTTCAAATAGATTTTAAGTATTCTGAGAGATTTTTATATATCTAAACTTGTCTGTCAATGACTTCCTTCATTTACATCATCACTGTGCAACCAACATTTTTTTTAAAGATTTTTTTTTT